ATTGGTGTTCTTCCTGCAACACACGTAGGTTCCACGAAGGTTTCTTGAAGGTTGACAAGAAGTGTCCTTGGGGCACTCGCCATTTGGGTCACGACAGAACAGCGGATGTCCTAGCATGTTTAGTGTGACGTCGCTGCCGTCGATGCATAGGACCTTCTGGCAACAGTAGTAGACATTCGGTGATGCCAAAGACGAAGTATCTTTTTGACAAGAATATCCGGGGGGACAAGATGGGTTTGTTGGTACACAGACTAAGGGAGTTTGCCTTACGGTGAGGTACGGTGACTGCCGAACTCCACAAACCTTGTCTTGTGGCGGTTGATGCGACTTTGGCACAGGGCAGCAGTGCGTAGCTGTACCGTCAGTGTTGGTCAAACACCGATAGCCGGATGGGCACAATCTCGTAGAAGAAAACCCACAATTGTTTGTCGATGGCCAGCTGCCATCTGGACATCTGTTTTTTATCATTGCCGAAGCTTTACAACAGACCGTTATGCCATTTTCTCTTTTACGGATGACATAGTCTTGAGGACAAGTACCTAACTTCGTTGTCAGGCATTTGCCATTCGACTGCGTCATGCTGCCACTGCTTTCTGTGCACAGGGATTGTCGAAAGTCCCCCCTAATGCAGCAGCAAATATTTGCACCAGGGACGTTCGACTGGCTGCATGATGTTCCCTGTGGACAGTGGCTGTATTCGGAACACATTGTAGGAGATTCCTCTGAGGGATACGGTCGCGTGCGAGTTAGACAGAAGTAATGGTTGATTGTCTTGCAGCATGTAAATATGTTGGGGATGTTGGACTGCGTGCATTCGTAACCCGATGGACAAGGCGCAGTTTCCGGTGAACATGATATAACCCAAGGGTGTACGGACTGATTGTTGTGACAAGTCAACGGTGCAGTTGTAAAAACGGAGCAGCAAAGGTGCTTATTGTTAGACGTTGCTGATCCGGAACATGTGTAACCTTTTACAGAACAGTCTTGACCTGGTATCTTACAGTACTCATTTTCGTCGTTGAGCAGCAGTGGGCTGGAAGACGTGGGACATTGTAAACCGGCGAATAACGGTGGTTTGCAACAAACGTATACTCCTCCGTCTTCTGACGACTGTACGCAGTCGCTACTGTCCGGACAGTGCAGTTTGCTTGGATGGCAGAATTTTGGCTGATCGTCGACCGGCACTAGTGGAGGAGGACAAGTGAAACGAGGACCACAGCAAATATGGACGTTCTTGAAACTGACGGACGGCTGGCAGTGATAATTCGTCGGGCAGGCAGACGTACTCTGGGTCGGACAGAGTAGTACCAAACCGTCAAGTTGGTACGGGACTTCGTTGTGAGGACATTCAATACGTTTCCGCCTCAAGTTGCAGCAAATTCCAACTCTCGAGTTGTTCGACTCTGACTCGCACGACGATTCCTTGGGACATTGTCCCCTGGTTCCCGCATCACACACGATCACGCCGTCGTTGGCCAGCGCAATTTCCCTGTTGTTTGGACATGCATAAGGCGA